TTATGCCTTTGGTAACAATCCTCAGTGGGCCTTCCACACCCAGAACCACGCTGAGTCGGTTTAGCTGGGGTTCCCATTTAAAGTGACCATTAGTTAATTCACCACAAAGTATTAGCATATAACAAGCATTCCTTAATGGTAAAGGCCACAATTTAGCTTCATGTTTTTCCCCTTCCCTTGACTTCACAAGAACTAGTAGGTAAGAGAATGTCGGCCTACTTGGGCAGCCCAAGGGAGATACTCAAGAGTGAGGTCCCAAGATTAAAGAACACACATGTGTAAGGCATCAGCAACAACAGTAGGCAGCATGGAGCAGAAACAATCACAACAGCACAAGAGCCCGAGAGCAGCCTGCATCTTGATTGTATAATTCCTATACAGGTTGTTATCTCATGTTTACATTCTTACAGAGTGTCATAACCAGTGCATGTATGTTTACCTGTGCTAAGTCATGGTTACATAACTGTATCCCAGTATGCACCTGCACTAGATAAGCGGGTTCACATCCTCAGGTGTCCCTAGATGGCCCTGAGATTTGAAGCAGTCTGAGTGGTTCCTGTAGTGCTGAATATATTTCACAATAGTTAGTGAGACACTAAGCCTCCACTAGACATGGTGGTCAGGTGATGGATGCAAGATGACTTGGAGGTAAGATGCAGAGAACTCTGTAATTTGGTAGGTTTTCCTTCCCAGCTATAGTTTGGATGGGTGAAAGTTAGGGACTGAGACTATGCTCAAGAACTTGGACTTCTCTCACTTTTAGGAACTCAGGGAGCCTTGAGAAAAATCTTGAGGGTAACTGAAAGGCAATATTTGAAATACCATTTTTACCAGTATTTATTTCAGAAATCTGAAAGTAAAATAGGTTTTATTATACTTTCACATTACCTTCTAAAAAGTTTGCATCAGTGTATACTCACCAACCCACAAAAATGAGTAGTTCTGCTATGGGTCAGATCTTGTCAGTGCTGGACATTACCTATCAGTTTATTTTTCCCCAATCTAATAATATAAAATGCAACATTATTTTATTCTGCATGTACTGATCACTACTGAAGTTGAGAGTCTTTTTTTATATATTTAGTATTTATGAATTTTCCTTTTGTTATTTCATCATAAACCTTTAGGTTTATTATCTTAATGTGATGTCAAGGGTCAGTGATATTAGCCTTTGACTAATTTTTTAGTTTGAAGATATTCTATTAAATTGTTACAGTTTTCCTTTTAAAACTAGGTATATAACTTTATAATACAGGAATTCTAAGTTGTACAGCAAATGTGTAAGTTTTGTCTTTACATATTTTATGTTTATATGATGCTTAATAAAGCCTTTTCTATAAAAATATCATGAAAATACATTTTGCATGTAAAGTATTCACATTCACTCATATATTTGGATCTTTGGTCATCTTAAATTTATTTTATGTGTTAAGGTGAGGTACAGATTTAATTTCAGAAAACATTTTCTCAGTAGAAAATTTAACCAATCAAATCTCCTACCTGCCATATGTCAAAATCAACCCTCTGCAATTATGCCTTAAATTCAAGTGTTTGATGAGGAATGGTCAAGATAAATACCTAATACCTAAAGAAATCTCTCTACCTTGGTTGTAGACAGACTATAGTCTGGCTCCCTTTTAACACATTTAATTTAGAATCAACTGTAAGATCCTATAGGTCTTACTCTTCAAATTACCTAGTACAGTGCTCACTAAGATATATTTCAAAACAAGTAAGAATTATGAAACTATGAAGTGAAGACACATTTCAGGCTTAGAGCTTCCACTATCATGGAAGAGTATTTAGGATGCTTTAAGGTAATATATGCCAGCCATTCAACCCAGAATTTGTACCTAGTAGTCTCTCATTATTGGTAACTAGAAAAATAAGTATTTTTATTATTTCAAGCATTCAGTGGAAGCAAAGAATCCTCTATCATTAAATAGTTAATTTTTTGCAAAGAGATATTTTCTTGTACGTAATAAAAAGCTAACTACCTTATAGATATAGATTTTCAGGCTGTCCTATGATTTTTAAGTCCACAGCCAAAAATAATTACAGCTTCATATTTACTGACATTGGTATTTGCTTCCTAAAATTAATCATAAGATGTTTATATAAAAAGGAAAAGGATGGACGTTGTGATTAATATTATGTCTCCTCTCTTTAACGTCTCCTCTCTTTAACTAGTATGTCTCCTCTCTTTAACCACAGTCTATTTGTACATACTAGTTGTGGACCAAAGCAGGAATAAAACTAACTTTTAAAATACTATGACGATAAACATTGTAGAGTAGGATAAATCAATAGAAAGACTAAATTTGGAGAGGCTGAAATAACCACCATTGACTTGGTTGGCATTTAAACCATTTGACTTGGGAAATCACTGAGGCAGCACTTTAAGAGGATTTTATTTTATAGCCTCCTCAGCCCAAGAGTTTTTAAAAATAAAAAAAGTGACGTAGCCTTGAAGATAAGGCAGGAACCAGACTGTCGCTGTGAAGCTGCTTTGCTCTTAAACAGCTTGTTCCCAAGTTTGAATCCATAATCCACTGGTCGAAAAGCTTTAGATTTGCTGGCCAAGATGAAAGATGCTCACAAGCTCATAATAGAAATTGATAGATACATAGACTCTGAAACCTTAGGCCCTGGCTTAAAGGGAAATGGAGACTTTAGTTGAGATAATTATCTTGTTAATGTTGGGCAAAATTAAAGTTCCCCTTTAAAGAGTCAGATCATTAATGTGCCAGTGCTAATACCCATTCAATGATGAAAAAGAGGAAACACATTACAAAAATCGGGAGGCTCTATAATATTTGAAGTATTCACATTTGTATATTTTAACTTAACACATTTAAAATGTGGAGCAAATTTGAGGTTATAAAAATTGCCTGTGGAGATAATTATTTCAAAATAAACAACTCTTTCTTTGTGTTTCCTATGCAAAAGTAGAGAGCTTGTATTTGCTTCTGGTATTCTGATCAATGAAAAAGATGGACCTTAGCAAAGATCAGTGACATTTTTTTTTACTCCCCAACCCTAGTCTATGTCTGTTATATTTGAAGTTAGGACAAAAGCAGAGGATAAACTAATTTTCTAAATGCTGTGACTTTAAATGTCTTTATATTTACATAACATAGCGCAGCATAGGGTCAAGGAATTAGGTAAAATTTGTTATCATTAATTAAACACTTCAACCTTCAATTATTTGATGACAATTGCTAAATAATTTCTGTCTGATTTCTTGGGGGCACTGATGTCTCACTGGAAGCTTAATATTACACTTGGTGTTGGATCATGATCACTTCCTCAGTCAAACTTAGCTTAGACCAGTAATCACAAGTAAACCATCCAAAACACAGTGCCAAGAAGTATTTGAAACCCTACTGAGGAAATTTTACAGCTTTAGTCCCTAAAGGACAATCCATAAAGGATGTTCTCTCTCAGCAACTTGGAAGGCTATGAGGTAAAGCCTGAGAGTAGCCAGAAACAGGGTGGAGTGGTAATATTGTATCTCAGTCAAACTCCTCTTCATGAAGCTTCTTATGAATTGTATTTTCAAATCAGATTAAAGAAGCCAAGTAGAGAAACACACGTATAAAGTCATATAGTTAAGTTGAAATGTAATTTGATTCTGACCATGGATATATTTCAAAATTAAATATTATTTACTGACAAAGAAGAAGCAACATCTGAAAAGTGGTGCCACGTATCTCTCATTGTGAATTCTGATATGATCTTTGAAAGTGATCTTCTCTAAGGAAACATACAAAATGTAAATGTCTAGTAACTCATTGTACATATGAATCCATAGTATATTTTGCAAATTCAAAAATTAACATGCTTATGTTTTATTTGGAATGATAAAAAATAATGGAGATGGATATTTTTGTCTTGGGAATCAGAATCAGGACCTCACGCTTGCCAGGCAGGTGCTGCACCACTGAGCTATATCTTCAGCCCCTTGGAGATGAATTTTGGAGGGGAAGCTGGTAAAAAATTTTTCCTGTTCTATAGGTTGTCTCTTTACTCTGTTAGTGGTGTCCTTGATTGTACAGAATCTTTTAAATTTGATGTGATCCCATTTGCTGATTGTTGGTCTGATGGAATTTTAAAAATTGTTGATATGTCATGATTATAGAAAAATCAAAGATTTCCATTTTTTTATAATAAATTATTTTCATGCACACCTCTGTGATCATTTTTTGATTCCTTAATACTTGTCAGTAGTACATTTCCTTTATTATTTACATGCACTCCTTTGTTATGTCAAAAGTTTCTTAATATATTTTCTGGATTTGTTGGTTTTATATTTCAATATTAAGATCCATCCTTATGTTTACTACTTTACTCAATCTTACTGAATACCTATCTGGAGTCCAAAAAGGCCCTGAGCTGGTGAATGTGCCATGATGAGTTAAAGTTGGTACTATTTATGTACATATGTGGGCAAAGTCAGTACAAGAGACTGGTAGTACACATTGCTATAAAATAAGATTCAGTGAAACATGAGAAAATGTTTTAATAAATTCTGAGTAAAATATTTATCTATATCAAGCAGCAAGATATTTCTCTCTGTTCGACAAAGGTTTTAAGACAGATATCATCTGAAAAATGTAGAGCACATTGCAGGGAAGATAAACATCTATAGAAGAAATTTCCCCCAACAAACAAAGAAACAAAAATCATGCATTGTATGTCAATTCTGAAAAGAAGCCAAAGTGAAGAATCATCTGAAGGAAGACAGTATAACCAACATATTAAAAAATGTTTGTATCTATAGTAGTTACGTTGCTTCTAAAACAACTAGGACTCAGTTAAGGGTGGGCATTGTGTTTAGCTTGACTGTGCTTTAATTTCAAGTATTTAGAAGAGTTTTCAACATAGCACACATTTAAAACTCACCATATAAGTGTGTGTGCAGGAGAGTTGCATACACGCTTACTTTTAAATGCATCCTGTTATGATACAAGCTTGTATAGTACTTTGTTCTTTTGCAGGAGACTATGTGGTCATGTCTGTCTACTTTGATCTGAGCAGAAGGATGGGCTACTTCACCATCCAGACCTACATTCCCTGCACTCTCATTGTGGTTCTGTCATGGGTATCCTTCTGGATCAATAAGGATGCTGTTCCAGCCAGAACGTCTTTAGGTAAAATTAATTTCCTTATGTTTGCATACTCCTAGGTAAGTACCATATACAAGAACTCTTTATTTCCCCTCCTAAATTAATGTGCTTTAATTTCAGTCTGTAATTACACAGAAGCTCATTTGTCCTGTTCAAAGAAAGCCAGCACTTTTTTTTTTTTTTTTTTTTTTTTTTTTTTTTTTTTTGGTACCCGAAATCAAACTCAGCACCTTGCATTTGCCAAGCAGGTGCTTGTGCCACTGAGCTATATCCCTGGCCCAAGCCAGCATATTTTCAAAACCAGTTTTAAACTTTTCTCATTCTCCAGTTCTATTTTTTCTTATTTACATCAGTACATTTTCTTTAGCACATTTTAAAATACATTTACATTAACTAAAAATAAAAATCTCATGTCAACAGAATTTTGTTTTAGTCTATGGTTACTAAACATGCTGAACTTGCTCCTATCAGCTCGTGAGAACTGTCTATCTTTTCCTACTTCTGTGTTTGGTTATGTTGCATAGAGAGCTAGAAGTCAGCCAACATTGTAATATTAATAATGCAAACACTCAATCATTAAAAATCTTGCTGTTAATAAAGTCAGGCTGTTCTGTTTTATTTTGCCAATTATTACACATTTCCCAGCACACAACAGTCTATGGGTTAATTGCAACATATATAATTATTTTGATGATATTTGAAGTAAATCATTCTTGGTAAAAGAGCCAGGGACAAGAATACTCTTTGGAAAAACATATTTTCTGTAAAATTTTGGGAACACAACCACTTTTAAGGTTATTTGAGGTTTGCTCAATGTACTATAGACAGTAATATCAATTTTAGATTTTTATATCTTTTCTTCAGCTGAGTAAGAAGTCGTACATAGACTAGAACAAAGCCACAGCATCCCATGGACATTAGAGCCTAGGTCCATGAATGAAATAGTCATATTACACAAAACTCTAAAGACTTAACTAGGTATAAAGCAAGGGAAAGATGAAGTATAATACCACCACTCCCCTTCATCCACTGCATGATGCCCAGGAGCACATCCCTCGCTAATCCTCTGACTTAAAGAACTGGTATCATGCAATTGTTATCAAACTTGGGTTTTTGAAGTATAACAAATCTGGAATTCGAGTCACAAGTACAGTATGACATTGGAATACCTGTTATTCTCTAGAAATCACGTTTCCCTGTGTAAAATATGTTATCATTTTCTGTATTCTATTTGTAGTGTTTGCTTAAAATTATCCTATACAAGGAACACTGAGGAGAGTAAAGCATCAGAAACGATAGCCACCGTAGCCTTTTTCTGATAAAACGAGTTATATGAGGTTACTAAACCAAGGGCAGAAATGAGTACTGGAGAAGACATCTTTTGCATATCTGTCCTCTTTCAAACCTAATTTAGTTTCCCATCTGTTTCACAATGAAGTTATTTTAATTTTCCCTGTTATACACAGTACTTTGTGTTTCAAGTCCTGTTCAGCAATTCAAATGTTTAATGCTGCATGCTGAAACAAACCAAAAATACATGGAGCCTAATACTTGAGGTCTGCTATTTGCCACTAGTGAGTAGTGTGTGTGGCATCAAATGCTTACTTGTCCATCTCTCAGATCAGAATGTAGGTGGTTTCATTTTCAGTGTAGTGCTTGTCACACAGCTGGTGCTCTGCTGTGTACTGAATGGATGTATATCCTTACAAATAGATGGAAAATGTATCCATATATCCCAGTTAACTTTATTCCCAAAAAGCATTTTAAAGGAAAAGATTTTAATCTCTTCTCTTGAATCCTGGACTCCTGCTGGATAAACTCCCTTCTGTGACCACATAGGTAGCTCATTCAGTCACTCACTAGCAATTGTACATGGGCAAAAAGACTATGTAGGAAGAAGGGATTAAGGTGAGTGGAGGAATGAGGGAGAGACTCCAGAATATCATGCAGATACCCCTGTTCCTTGATTATTTACAACTCAGGCATGCTCTTTTAAATGCATTCTTATCGATACCCAGCACTGTGCTATGAGGACAAACCCAACAGGTGGTAATTCACTTTGTCAAAAGCATGGCCTGGGTGTTAAGAATTAAAAAAAAAAAAAATTGTCATGCTCGATCACCTTTCAGAATGCTGCTCTAGTTTTCACTGAGCTCCGTTATCCTTTCCAGTGTTTACATTCAAGAGTTAGAGGCTATAACTTTGAGCACTCATGCCTGCAGACTTTAAGCTTATTGCTAAAGATCAGTTAGACTCAACTTCTCCAATGAGTGAGCTAAATAGCCCATGATTGCTCAAAGATGCCAGCTGTTTTCTGAACACATATGACTGGCGTATGGAGAACAGTCATCCTGAAGCTGATAATGTTTGCATGTAGTTTGGTACACAGATGGTAGTTAGTGAGGTTTCATCATACTGCAGTGATGATGCATGAAAATAAAAATGTTTTTCACCCAAGTAATCAGAGGTGAGGCAACATTCCCAAAAAGGTAATTTTCTTAGTAAAAGTTACAGTTTTCATCTACCTCAAGTAAGAAAAGCCTAATCTCTTTGTTCAATAAAACTAGATTTACAAAACCATTTCAAGGTATCTAACTGTTGATTGGTGAATCAGATAACACTCCTGACTTTTCTACTTCTTATTCTTGATGTCATAGTAATTGTATTCCCTGTAGCTCCAAGCAGCATCATGAAAATATTAAGAATCAGTTATTTAAGATTGCACATTACATAGTTGTGATAATCTTCCATGCAGTTCAGGGAGTATATAATTTATGTGCCATAATTTGTTGGCTTAAACTATCCTATGCCAGACTTTCTAAAATGAACTCATCTGTATTATCCACTGTAAACACTGACATTCTCATTTGTCATAGGTCAAGTGTGACTTGAAGCCCGATTGTGAAATAAAGGTCATGGTTCCAATTTAATTTTTAAGTTTTTAATAAAAATAGCTGTAATTAGGTAAATCAAGAACTCTAGTATGAATTAATGCAAAGACAGCTTAATTAAAGGTTTTTAAGTTGAAGAAAGAGAACTTGTTTTCCTAAAATAAATGATATCAGTTTGTAACTTTCATTAAGACATTGCTAAATATTGGTGTCCTGTCTTGGTCATTTTCCATGAGATCCATGGATGGGAGCTCAACTTCTTTCCACTAGGCTGTCCTCCTAAAGGATCTGCCACCTGCCAATACACAGGAGACCATCAGACCCACATCATTTTCCCAAATTAGCACTGTGATCTTCAATAACTCCCATCTGTCTGATGCTTCATGTTGCATATTTTTAATGCATTTTCATATAGTCATATAAATATACAGCAGTGTGGTTCAAAGTTTAGCATTTGATGTCGAACTGCCTAGGTTTCTCTCATCTCTAGCACTTACTAGCATGGAGTTTTTCTTCTTCCTTTATTCAGGAAAGAATAGAAGCAATTATAAGATACATCACAGGGATATTGTAAAGATTTTATTGGATAATATATAAAGTGCTTACTGTCACATCTGGCCAAGGGGTGTTAAACAGTCTCTTACATATCATAAATATAGAGTCCTATTCTCAAATGGAAGTTGAGCCTCTTTGATCATTCACAAATATACTATTCATTGATTCTTTCTTAAAATTTAGATAAAGTTAGATCTTGGAAAATTTCTAGATGACCCTGATAATTACACTGGGGTATGTAGAGGCCTCACTCAGAACTATGAGCTAGATTGGAAAGATGTAATGTTACTCTTAAATCAAACATTGACCTCTAATGAGAAACAGGGAGCATTACAGGCTGCTACTGCATTTGCAGATGAATACAGTATTATTAATTTTGGAAAGCCAGAAGAAAGACAGACAGGGGAACTCCCAGCGAAACTTCCCCCTGGAGCCCAAGTAGTCATTGATTCTTTACTTCTCATTTTCTTTCTACAAATGTGTACTGAGACCCAGCACTATATTCAGCTGTGAGTTTACAAAGGTCACGAGACACATATCTGTTGTCACGGAAAATACCAAATAGAGAGATGGATCATCAGACAATGAGTAGTAAAGCCTTTGGCCTTTATAAGTATAGTTCCCTTGATCACTCCTCTCCTTTTTTAAGGCCTGTTCTTTCCTGTGAGGTCGTTTCAACACCTATTTTCCCCCTCAGTGGGATTTCATAGCACCATATGTACACTGCAAACTTGAATGTTCAGCTAAGACTAACTACCCAAGAGAGCCACATATTTTTGGAGTCATAGTTAAATGTTTTAAAAATGGCTCTGACAAATGAGAGCTTGAGAGAGTCAGAAGAAATATGCCAATTTTTAATCTTCTCTTAGTGCTTCTTCAACTGGTTTCGCTCTGCTCCTTGGTCTTCTGAGCACGTTCTGCCAGTGACCCATATTTTAGAGAGAAATTGTTTGTTTCTCCTTTCCTAAATGATGCCACTTTTCTTCTATGCAGTTTTGCTATGCTCTTCTGTTCAATCTAACTGATTCCCTGTGAGCTGCCCTACATCTTTCGGAGTCAGGAGAATCCGATTGTTTTCTAGGAGTCTCTTAGTCAGCAATAATAGTCACTGCATACTATTAAATGATGACATCTTTGTCATCTTTTACTCCTGGGAGAAATCCACCACAAACTTGGTGATGGTAAACAGATGGATGTACTACTTCTGGAGTAGAGAGACATCCTACCAGTTGTTATAGGAAAAGCAAACAGATCTATAGAATAATACCAAAATTGGGCCTTCTAAATCTAGTACATTTGCCAATATATATTCAGTGCTTGTCACCAAAACTGAGAGCCAGCACATAGTAATATTTGTAAGGAGAGAGAATTCTAGTTATACCGTCTTTCCCAATTACTGAGGTTACTTATCAGAAGTCATAAAAGAAGTTTCACTTCTGTAGTGACTAAGTCATCAACTGGCTGATGCTATAACCTCATCCATTTTCTTGTACCTCTCTTTAGGTATCACTACTGTCCTGACAATGACCACCCTCAGTACCATTGCCCGGAAATCTCTCCCCAAGGTCTCCTATGTCACAGCAATGGATCTTTTCGTCTCTGTTTGCTTCATCTTTGTCTTTTCTGCTCTGGTGGAATATGGGACCCTGCATTATTTTGTCAGCAATCGGAAACCAAGCAAGGACAAAGACAAAAAGAAGAAAAACCCTGTATGTATCATTTCCCATTGTGATCACTGAGAATTTTATGCAGACAGACCACATAAATTTGACTTGGTTTAGTTTTATTAGCTTATCTGTGTGCTAGGCTTGGCACTTTGGTCTTCAAAGTGAAAATGCAGTGAGTGAGCTTTTGTTCTTTCATAAAGATAAATTTATGGTCGCCAGTTTCTTGAGAGAGACCTGCTCTCAAAGTCAGACTCCTTTTCCTAATGTAACTACCTGCTCTCTTCATTTTGTGGGGATCAAAATTATTGCTGAAGAATGCACTGATATGCTATTTGCTATTATTCTAGGTTTCATTAATTTCCATTTTTCTGTCCAACTTAGTATAATACATTAAATGACTGATATTTTATTTTTTATTTATTTATTTTTTTTTTTTTGGTTTTTCTCCGGTACCGGGAACCGAACTCACGACTTTGCGCTTGCCAGGCAGGCGCTTTGCCGCTGAGCTAAATCCCCAGCCCCTATGACTGATATTTTAAATTAAACTTTCATCCAAGACTGGGAAGCTTCAGGTCCTTGAAGATTAAAGAATCACCACATTTTTGCAAATAACTTAATGTGTGTATGTGTATGTGAGTATGTGTATGTATGTGTGTATGTATGTATGTGTGTGCTGCACTAGAGGGCCTCTATTGGTTGGTGTTAACATGTGTGCTTTTGTTTTTAAAACAAATGGCTCATTATGCTTTAGGAAGTTACTTAATCTCCCCAGATCTTTGTTTTCATATATATATATATATATATATATATATATATATATATATAATAAAATTAATATTGTTAAAAATAAACATACTTAAGGTTTCTATGGGAAATGTAGTAAAGGAGGTAAACAAGCAAAACCAAAAAATATCTGAGAATCACATAGAAGTCCTTGTTTTTGGTAGTTGGTGGTGAAAGTTGATCATTTATACAGTTACCAACCTAGATTTCTCTCAGTGTCTACATGATTTGGAGAAAGGGAGGATGACTTTTGTTCATACTATTTAAATAGTGAGAATGAGACACAAATGAAAATGCCTAAGGAACTGTCTTTCATTGCAAGTGCTGGAGAGAGCATGTAGCTATGATTTAATTACCTGGTCACACTGTGCGGTTCAGAGGAGCTTTCTAAGAGAGGAGCTCAGGCAGTGGCCATGCATCCTGGCTTTATAACCTTGCCTGGCTTTGCTCTAAGACATGACAGGCATGACAGTGGCAAGCTATCTGATTCATGAACCTTCTAGCTGAAACATAAAGAAGGAATCTAGCTGTTCCGAGGTTATATCACAACGATGCAGCTCCAGAAGCCCACATGAAATCCTGCAAGTGGCATGTATTTATTTGAATATGAGTTTTGTAGCTGATAAAGAAAGAACCATAGTTATTCTTGGTGATTAATAAAAACATAAATGATTCTTTTTAATTCCCCAAATATTTATTATACTTTATGCTGTCCTTCCTTCGCCTGTTTGCCTATTTCTGCCTTTTCATATTTTCCATCCTTGTTTTATTTTCTGTGTTGCACTGTTTTTTGTTTGATTCCCCTCCTTCACTTTCCATCTCATTCTCTCAAGAAGATGGCTCTTTTGATACTCCACATTACCACCTGCAAGCCATAATAAGAGTATGAGGCCTGGCTTTCAGACAACTTCTGAAGAGTTCTTTAGAAAAAGTCCTATGGCCTTCTCTCCCAGAGGTGTCATTGCTGAGTGGATTTGTTACAAAAATAGAAACAGTTGGGTTTCTTAATCCAGGGTCATAGAAGTAGCAGAGAAAAAACAAGACAGGAAAGAGGATTCAAGAACATAAGAAAATGAAATTACCATAAAATTTACACCAATTCATTAATTTATAAAAACTAGCAAGGGCCTAAATGGTGAATGAGAAACTAAAACTTCATTTTCCTGTGTAATAAATCTTTGTTCATTTTCTCAATATTGACTTATTAAAGCCTTCTTGATGGCATTTAGAAAATGAATCGGTAGGTTTTTTTTTTTTAATACAGGGATGTCATACAATAGGAAGTTCATTCACAATTGTTCAAGATTGGTTTTGCCATCAGATAATTGTGGGTTAATTTGTTGCTGATTTCTCTATAATCACTAAGTTCCACTTTCCTGCTTTAGACATATACTTTGCCCAAAGCTCAGAGCTCTTCTTCTGTGTTCATAATTTCAGTTTGTTTTAACTACTATGTTTTCAAAATGTATTTTTAATTTATCTTATTTTGTCTCTCTCTTTTTTTTTTTCTGTTCCCTTTTTCCTTCTTTTTATTAAAAAAATGCGATTCTCTTTTCTGTCTACAAACCCAAAGCTTCTTCGGATGTTTTCCTTCAAGGTATAATGTTTTTGGAATGGGAATTCACTGCATGCAACTGCTGAATTTAAGTATTGATGCTTACATGGTGTTTTGTTTTTTATGAGTAGACATTTAAGTCTTCTGCTAATGATATCATGTTCAAGACTAAGAAAGTCCTGTGGATTTCTAAAGTTGATTCAGTAACTGTACACTAATTCACATAAATTTTGATTTTACATCGAGCTCCAAAGCTATAAGCCTCATGATGTGGAGCAGGTAAAGAGGGTCTCTCTAAACATCAGAGCCAAATTTGATCCTCTCTCTTCAGATTAAAATTGATGCAATTTCACTGTCTATAACTACCATAAATGTATCCTTTTAAGACTGAATTTAACTCTGTAAATCCTCATTTAAAAATTGAATAGTAAATATTGTTTTGTAAACTTACTGTCCATTTTTCTGGACTACATTTGTGAATTTTATAAGAAAATACTGTCTTTAAAAGACTAAGTTAAAATATCCATCCTTTCATCCTATGGCAAATTATCAGCCTGCTGTCTGTATGAAATACAGTGAGAAGATTTCTATTTAATTCTGATAGCTGGTGAAAAGAAATAAGGATTTGTTTTCATATTATCCTAAAGCTAACTCAGACAAATTAAAATTAAACAAATTCTTTAGTTTTATAGAAATTTTGATATTGCTCTGGAAGAACATTAATAGATTAGCAAAGTTAACTAATACTAGTTTCTCCTCAAATGCTAAAATGAGTTTGATAAGCACTTACATTCTTTTTTCTGAATTTTCATACATATGGAAGTAAATATTGCTGGCATTCTTAAGCTTAAAGTTTGAGAATATTAGACAGAGTATCATATTCTCCTCAAATTTAAGCCTTTTCAATATAAATTTGAGAAGCTTTAATGTTTATATTTACATATATATTTTAACATCTGCTATTAACATCATTTAACACATTTGCTCAATGTGATAATGAGGTTTACTCTTTGCCTATAAGTAAGCATGACATAGAATTTGATTTCAAAATAGATGCCTTTTTATTTCTCTGTTTCACTCACATGCAGTACCATTGAATACCTTCATGTTAACCAACTTCACATCTAATAATTACTACAAGATTTCATGTAGTTTGATTTAAATCTTTAAACTTTGAGTTCTTTTGGTGTTCAGTATTCTTGCTATAGCTACTAGCTTGATATTATTTTCAGCTGCACTGCTTAAGCTCAAACCTTGAAATCTGCAAATGTGCTACCCTTCTGAGTTCAATTTTATCATTGTAGATCACGATGTCATAGCAATTTCCTGAGTATCCATTTTCAGATTCATCATCACATTGGTGACATGCATTGTGGAGAAAGAGTCTAAGAACCTCCAAGTATAACTAACTTTGCTCCCCCTCCTTCCCTACCCTTGTCTCAGGCCCCTACCATTGACATCCGCCCGAGATCAGCAACCATTCAAATGAACAACGCCACACACCTGCAAGAGAGGGATGAGGAATACGGGTACGAATGTCTGGACGGCAAGGACTGTGCCAGTTTCTTCTGCTGCTTTGAAGATTGCCGAACAGGAGCTTGGAGACATGGGAGGATACACATCCGCATTGCCAAAATGGACTCATATGCTCGAATCTTCTTCCCCACTGCCTTCTGCTTGTTCAATCTGGTTTACTGGGTCTCCTATCTTTACCTGTGAGGAGATATGGGTTTTATCGATGTGGGTCTTATTCTCTGAATCTCATGGAAGGAAGATGTCCTTTCTAAGTCCACTTAAAGAATCCCCTGAGTAGTCAGTAATGATCTGGGTTTGTTTCTATGTCATAACACTGTAAATTGTATAATGTTTTGTTTGTGCCCAACTTTCCATTAATTAGTGTAATTTGAACTTCAGTGTGTGCTGTGTTTCAAACCTGCAAGGCAAAGTAAAATGAGGGCCAGAACAGTGAAACCAAGCAAGGTAATTTATAGTGATAGCAACTGATATAGTGAAAGCCCTGGCTATTTATATAGTAGTGTTATTCTTACCTGATTCATAATGCAATTAGATGCAGATGTCCAATACTATATCATTTGTTCACTTGGGGTCAAGTTGTGATAAAGTTGAACACAATAGAATACATCTCTCATTTGAGAAGAATCACAACTCAACTTAAATATAAAAGACTAGTTTAGAAACTTATTATGCCTTTTTTCCTAAGATAGGAAGAAAATTTCCTCCACATCCTATGTACAATGATGTAAATATTTCAGTAACACAGAATGCTTCGAGTTTAATGCATGCCTCTCTTTAGAGCCAAAATAAATGGATTGAAGTTATCATCATAATGTACTGTCTTTTATTTTGTGTCTTTGGGCTTTAAAAGAATTATGAATGTAATTGCAAAGATTTGGGGTAACAATTGGAGGGAGGAATTTTCCATGCCTTCTCCTTCATGCATGAAGATTCAGGGTTGTTTATCTCCTTGTTTGACATATTATAAACTTTGAGTAAAATATAGGCTGATGAGCTGACACTTTCTAAGTCTAAGTAAGCCCAGTTTCCTAAGTGGAGTATCAAGTGATGGTATCTGCTTGCCACTATTTTTTCTTCCTTTTAGGATGATAGATCTTAACAGAACTTACTCTCCATCTCAAGATCTGCTTTTAGTGACTGTGAGTGCCTTGTGGGCAGAATCTCTGTCATTTCTTCTTTGGGTTCTCAGCACCTTGCGCAGTGCCTGGTACACAGTGCTCAGTAAATAAATTTTGAATTGAGTTGAGTTGCTCTTCTAAGCTTCTAGTGAATCTGTCTGTGCTGGTCTTGGATAGAGGGATCCATCCATTCACAATGGCATTAGCAAGTGTTGTTTGATCTTATACAAATAACCAGAGGATCCGATGAATTGTGGCTATTTTTTTAATCTTGAAAAAACTGTTGTAGGCAGTCTGTACTTCTTTTAAAATAGTATCTCTGTCCTATGTTTGCGTACAGAAATGACTACTGGGGCATAGATATTGTTTATTTTTCCAGGTCCGGGTATGAGTCAGTTCTGACCCATTCAAAATTCTGCTAGTGAATTTATGACAAGCATAAGCAAGATTCATACCTGACTGATGTTTGGAATGTAGTAGTCTATACTCAGAAAAAGATGCACTGAGGATTAATTTAAAAATTTAAAGAACAAATGAATGGCTTACATTGAGGTCACTAGGCCTGGGACAGGGGCCTCATTAGACTGTAATGTAATCAAATCAAGTGATTGCCATAGACTTGAAACATGATGGGTTCAGCTCAATTTTCATATACTCATCCTGAATCCTTATTTTTCTAGAATAGTACCCCTCATCAGTTATTCTTTATGGCAATCATTTCTCTAAGTCAGAACTTAATCATAGCTAGTATAACTTTATAGATAATCTAAAAAGAATAGAAAAGAAAGAGCGGCTTTGTTGAAACAAAACCATGTAAAATCATCATCAAGTCATCTGGATGAATCTTGAAATACATTTAGCTGCCAACTATACAAACTTTTGATGTATCAGTGCTCTAGTATTTAACCTCAAATGTAAATAGAATGAATTATTTTCTTGTTTTCAATTGTTGAAATATTAAATGTGGAATTTTGGGGAGAGTTGTGGGAAAATTTCAATGATGAGAAATATGTTGTTATTGTCAGCTTGAAATGTGTTCTGTAATGAGGACACTTAAAAAAGCTAGCTTTTTAATGTGTGCATAGTATTGCCAATATGGTATCTATTATATATAATCTAATCCTTAATTATCAGCTGCTCCCTGTCTGTGTATTTGAAAACCTTTTCAGAAAGGGAATTGCCTAACATATGTACTTTTACAATAAAAAAATCTACATTCTAATCTATGGTGGCCTCTCAGTGGTCTGGTTGGACTGTTTTTCTTAAGGACTGGGACCCTCTTTACTATCTCAATCCTCCAAATTACATTTCAGTGATATTTATTTGTGAAATTAATGACCATGATTCACAAGGAGCTTCTCTTCTCTTTAAAAGAATTAAGAGATGCATTTTAGCATAAATAAGGAAGGCAGCTATGTTATAACATTATCAGTGCTCACACTCCCTCTATGCCAAGACTTTTGATGAGGTTGCAAATATGAACTACGGTGTTAGAGTTTGGGTCCTAAATTTAGCACTCACCAATACTTCACAGGTTGTCAAATCAGCCTTTAGAAGCTTCCATGTTGCCAGTTATAACTCGGGCATAGTAAAGTCACCCCGTATAATAACACTCAACAAATGGTTAAGATCTCTACTTCATTTCCAATGTCTCCTGTGCACAGGTGCTCTGCTCCTCCACCCCCTTCAATTTGGCCCTCCCAAAAGCAACAGTCAGTAGCCATAGTTGCCTTACAGTGGGGCAGTCTCATGGTGTATCATATTTAAGGAAAGTTTGCATCAAGACTCTTAAACTAGGTTGGAATTCCAGGTCTCTTGTTTAAAAAAAAAAAAGAAAGAAAGAAAAGAAACTTACATAGCAGATTCATTATTCTAAAGGCTGAAATAACCTCAAAGAGTTGTACACCCCAATTTTGAAAACATGTGGAATTGATCAGCCTAACTCCAGAGAAAGTATCATATGTTCTTGAAGTCTTTTAAATTCTCCACAGACTAAGACACTCTGGTCCTTCACTAACAGAGCTGCCCTAATCTTCCTCTGCCTGTCATTCTCTCGGCCCCTTGTGGTTTCCTGTATCCAATTTAAGTTCTCACCTTACAAATATGTAAAAATGTAGTTTTCATATAGGATTTGTCTGATGTCTAACCTTGAGTGCATATTCATGGAATGCTTCTTTGCCTTTTTTGTCTCAGTGTGATTCTGACTAGTAGCAATAGCTTTTGTGGTGAAGGTCAAACTAAATTAGCCAAATAGTGTGGTCTTCGGAGATTATGTCAAAAACTGCTATCTCTGTGCTTTGTCATTATGGATTTTGTCAGATGTGTAGGAGAAGAGGGAATGACCTACACCAGTGGCTCTACTGCATTTTCAATGTCCAGTGAACCACTGGAGATCACACGGTTAGTTAATAGCAGACTGAAGAGAATTATCTAAGCATTGCAGCTTCCACAGCACCTCATGCTTCAGGAAGTGGAAGTAAATTTGGAGTCAATCTTTCTGTTAATTTATTGGTACATGGCAGAATAGAGAAATCCTTCTTTCTTTGACCTTGACCTCACTATTTTTAAATTTACAAATGAGAACAATTTTAGAATGTCTAGTAACAAGGAGAAATGAATGGATTTTGCATTTCTTTTATTCCCTATTATATAGGACGGCTAATTTATTTAGTCTAATCCACACCACTTTCAGAATTCTCTTTCAGAATGGAGCCATCAGTCATTTGAAAAATACCAGACCTGGAGTTGGTGTTTGTCCCTCAGGCGTGGAACCACAGATAGCCGAGTTTCCCATGGTTATTTTCTGCAGGTTTATGCTTTCTACCATTTCAGCAAAGAGATGGGGATGATCTGACTACTGTGAGTCTTTCCAAAATTAGAAGCTACATTTCAGTTGTAAAATCTTTTGTAACTCTCTTATGCATATATAGGACAATAAATTTTCCCCTAATTATTGTTCATACAACAAAATGGAGAAGCAGGAGTTCTTGCCTAAGATTTTTTGAGGTTCAAACCCTGAACCTATGTAATTTTTATCTGCTTCAATTTTCTCTCTAAAAAGGGGAGACAATGTTATATATCACATATTTTTATTGTAAGAGGCAATGGTGTTAATTGCACAAAATAGCTGAATGTTAATAATTTCCCTCAAGATAGATGTAAAGTTTTAGAAAAAAAGACATTAAAAACATGTGTACTGTGCTTAAGAATGATGATTATCATTTTTGAGAACTTTCTTTTCCATAAAAAGAAGAAAAACTCTCACTGTACTATAGATAGAATGAGAATTCTGCTAAATCTACTTTTCTTGATGGGAGTCAATTTTCCATAGGAAAATGAGGGGTTTTGACCCTTCTCCTAGTAGGCATTTATTCTGTCCCTTCTCTCCTCTTCATTATGGTCTGATATTATTGATTACTATTTTACTTTCATACTCTATTGCATTCTGTTTTTTTCTCATTTGTTCTCTTTCATCTCAAAACTCCTCCAAAAAAGTGCCATATTCTACAATTTCCTTCTCAGCTCAACAGACTAAATCATGTCCAAGTGAAAATTCTACCTGCTCCACAAACTCTTTCTGGTTTCACTGAAGTTTACTATGCTATTTTCTTTTATCTCTTCAAGTATTCGATATGATTTTGGAGTGGCTTAATCTTAGGGTTTACTTAATCTAAGTACTTAACATTCATCCAATTCTCTCAGTAAACAAATTTTAAATGAACAATGCTGTGACAAGAATACCATATACATAATTCACAATCCATTTGCATGTTAAATCAGGTTGTTTATCTTCTGGCTATCTCTCTGCCACATGAATTTGCCTCATAATTGTTTTTTTTTTTTGTTTTGTTTTGTTTTGTTTTGTTTTTCCTGTTACTTGTATGTGTTATGGGCCTAGAATGAAGTCTTTTGTCAAATAAATTTTGGCTAAGCACCTATGAGTTTAATTCAACAGAAAACTTTCAGTAGACATCACAGGCCTCACACAAGTCACTGTAAACACAGAAAGATAGGGATTTCAATATTCTTTGTCTTGAAACATCCAGAATATGACAGAGGCAATAAGAAAGAATGCGAATAACTATAACCTCTGACCTCTTGCTTCTCCCTCATAAGGATGGTTGTAATTACATTGAACTCACCCAGATAATCAGCTCATCTCACATCCTTAATCATGGCTGTAAAGTTTCTTACTGACAAGAGGCATCACATTCACTATTTCAGGAATTAGAATGTGGACAACTTTTGGGGGCCATTATTCTGCTTGCCACATGATCCTTCTCAAAAAAAAAGCACAAAAGAATGGGTTAGATATTTAAAAAGGACATAGAGCACTGGAAAAAAATCACCATGTGGCACTTTCGCTTCAGATAAATACAGACTACCAAACAGTTGCCAGTCAGAAAGGGTGGGTAAGAGCAAGCACCCAGGATTCCCTCTTCTCCTACGTTACTTATGCCTACCTGGTCAAACCAAAGGGGGAGCTAGAGGGCAAGAAACCTGAAGAGTTAGGTTGAAGAGATGAGATGCCAGGGAGCACACAGAGTTAAGAGGGTAGAGGATGGACCAGGAAAAGAAGGTACCCATTAAAAATCTAGAAAATTAATACTTTGGGAGAAAAAATATCATTATTCATCTCATCATAATTTTTCAAAGCTAAAGAAGCAAGCATGTTTGTCAATTATATCCTTATTTCATGAAAAAAAGTAGTCTTAAAAGGTACTGCATTAGAATATTAGAAAACCATGTGTTTTGTGCTGGGTAGTCTGTTCAACATGAAAATTCTTCCTGTTGGCTATATAATGGTTAAATGTGGTTTTATTATGAAACTACTTGATGAGAGTTAATGTGGGTTAATAGGCATGGCCCGCTAGTTAGTCCCACAGCAAGGCAGCCCAATTAGCAAGTTGTTTGCAGGCCAATACAATCTTAAGCTATTTTAACCAAGAGTAGTACTTCTGAGCCAATATTTCTCATCTGTTATTGCAGATCCTAAAAAGTGACAGGGTTTCTGAGTCACTGGAAGCCCAAGGGTAAATTCTACAATGGGTTCACGGCTAAAAATAGCAAAGTGATAGTCGTATTTCTGTAAACACAATGATGATAAGAACAATTAAAACTTAATTGGCGTAACTTGACCCAAAGTGACAATAGCTGAGCCATTTGGCAGAGACCAACTTGGTCGATAGTTTTGCATTAATATTTGCAGATAGAAGGTGATTGTTGGGCAACTGTAACCTGAGTGAACTACTACAGTGTACATACATCATGCATACCCATGCCTTTGTAAAATACATAACTAATACAACAGTTTTATAAAGCTATAAGCTCCTGAGGAGTTTGGCTCCTAACTTTAATTCTAAATCTTTATATAGCCTAGCATGGAACCTCACCCATAATAGACATGTGAGGTATAAAATTTTCAAGATCAAATCCAGACAAGACAGAATATTGCAGAGGAAGGCCTGTAGCATATAACAGTCACGCCAGGATCTACAAATCAAGCACCTGGACAAGAACAAGTTATTAAAGGGAAAGGTGAAAAGAGCTCTACAAATCAAGTAAGAGCTCATAGGAAAAGTAGAGATCATAAAGAAGTAGAATCTAGCAGAGAAAAGGAGAAATGAAGCAGCCTGGAGCACTGACAAGTCTCCCCAAACACAAGCCCCCAGAAGAAGGCTGGGTTTTTTTGTTTCTTTGTTTGTTTGTTTTTGTTTTTTCTCCGGTACAAGGAATCGAACTCATGACCTTGCGCTTGCCAGACAGGCGCTGTGCCACTGAGCTAAATCCCCAGCCCCTAAGGGTGAATTCTAATAAGACCCTCAAATATTACTCTGAGTAGGTTAAAGAGGCATACGAACAGTGAAATGACTTATAAGGATACATCACAGGGAGACAGAGTCTAACGAAAGAGATCTACACAGTATAAAGTCCTTCTACCCTAACTGATTTTCAACCCATCGCATAAAAGCAATAGGAATGTAAAAAAAGAAAGCAACAAAGTGTCCCCTAAAACCCCTAGCTCCTTACAGTCTGATCTTATGAATGTTGAAGTAGAGGAAATGTCAGGCAAAGAACTGAACAAGTCAAATGGTCAAAATGTTTAAAGAGCAAAAAGAAGAAAAACATGGGCAATTTTGTAAGATGCTTTCCAAGGTTAAAGGTGATTTTATGAAACAGATAAGGAACTTTACTAACAAAACATTTAATGAACGAAGACAAAGAA